ATGGCTACTTCATGGGAAGGATGGCTACTTCAACACGGAAAAGATCTGTTTATTATTGCCTCTATGCCCCACAGCATAACTGTGCAGATAGCTGGATCCCTTAAAACTCAACTGGGAACCTTAATGCAGCTCTCAGAACAGACCTTTAAAATGAGTTCAAAACACCTTAGCCTCCAGAGAAGGGGACATTTTCCTGGAAGCAACACTGCTAGAGGAGCACTCCCATTGAGATCAGAGCAATAGTAAAAAGTTTAAAAAAAAAAAGTTAAAAGAAAACTGCCACTTCCCCAAAGAGACTAGGCACCATGCTCAGCAACCCTACAGAGGTGCCTGGACTGCTTTTAACTGCTTATAATGATCCTAATAGGCAGAGTTAGATTAAAAAAAAATCAGCAAATGAAAATTTTAGACCAACATGAGGGGAAATTTCCCAAGAATGAGCTTTCACTGGTCTATTCAATAGCCCTACAAGGTAAATGGGGAAATCACTATTACCTGAGCCATTAAAAACCAGAAACTGCAGATTGCAACAGTGCAAGTTTCCCAACACTATCCCACAATATTTCCCCAGTATGGGAGGATAGTTTAGCGTCAAAGGTCATTCAACCCTTGACCTCTCTCATGGCACTATCAACAAATTACTATGAGAGCATGTTTGTTTTACATTACAGTTATTCCCCATTTAATACGTGCCCGCTTAACACGTTTTCACGATAGCATGATTTTTTTTTTAGGGAATGCTTTTTGAATTGCACAACCATCCCTGGAATAACACGATTTCCCCAGTTGGCTCGTTGGCGGTGGCTGCGCGGGGCTTCCCTGGCCTCCCTGCAAAGCGGCGGAGGGTTTGCCACTCACTCCGCCATTTCCCGCTGACTCCCCCTTGCCGGACGCAGTGCGGGTCCAGCACACCCATCATGGGCATAATCTCAACGCAATCCTCCTCCTCTCTCCTCCCCTTTCCTTCCCCAGAGCCAAACACCTCCCTTCCCTGCTGTAACCCAGTCCCCGTTCTCCCCCAACCTTATGTCCCAGTCCCAACAGACACCACCGCTTGAAATGCAACCCCCACCTTTTCCATTATTTTCAATGGGAAAATTGACCCCGCATAACACATTTTCACTTAACACAATCATTTTCTGAAACCTATCTATAGTGTTAAATGAGGAATTACTGTACTAGTAAGGACAGTGTCTGTTGAAAAAACACTTACCTGTATTGTTGTCATAGAATTTGATGTGCCTGTCTTCATGGGCAGTGATACTTATAGGAAGAGTTGGATGGCTGACAACTCTGTTTATCTGGCAGGAAGTGTTAGCAGCTATGGAAAAAAAACAACACCCACATATGGTAAATCTCTACAGCAAAATCCTGTACATATGTTCCTGTGAAAAAATAAAATCTGTAACAAGTTTTGGATTGAAAATTCTATACAGGCATTAAATCTACCACGACTGTAATGAAAGCTCTCCTAAGTAATAACTTACTTTTATATACTGTCTTTTATCCTAAATAATTCCAAAGCACTTTAGAAGTGACAGCCTTGCACACTCACTGTCACTCGGGCATACACACCTACATCAATATGCTTACATAGAATATCCATGTATGGGGGTACATAGAGGTGGCATTTTGCTATCATTTCCCCATACCAGATACCCCTGTTTTAATTTTTACTATTGCTGCAAGTGCTTAAAAATAACCCAATAGAATTATGAGTCATACAATGCATGTTCAAAATATGCATTTCTTCTGATCTTTTTTTTCCCCAGAGATATGTGGTTCACTTGTGCTTCTGGTCTAGATGATTAGCCATAAAATTATCCATCCCTACTTAAAATCCAGCCACTGCATTTCACTTTATAATCTCATCTGTCAGACAACTTGCCTATTTTCTGTGAACATATGTTCATTTTCACTACAATAGTACAAGCTTACAACAATGAAAGTTTCTCTCTCAAAAAGGAAATGTTTTCATTTTTGATACATACTGTTATCTATGTTAGATTCCAAGGTAAGAATTTGTTGCCGGGTCTCCATGTTAAAAAGACAAGTGTGCCCACTAGTAAATGATGCTACCATGTGGCTTGGGTCACTGCTCACAAGGTCTACAGAAGAAGGGATTCCCATTTCTACAGAAAAGCACATTTTTCAAAAACAAATTAGTCGGTAAAAGCAAGAAATCAGGCAACATTTTGGTATAAATAATGATATCGTTTTCATTATGACGTAAGGAGAAAGTTATTAATGGTGTCTAAAAATATATATAATTTTCAAAACATTACTTATCAGTTGAAACACTGTCATCTTATACTTGATAATATAATAAATATAAGTCATTATACAAAGTGATACTTTATAGGGGTGCATTAGTTTATAAGAGAATTTATTATCTAGCGCAGTGATGGGCAGTCTGTGGCCCATGAAGGAAATCTGATTGTGGGACAGGAGACATTTTGCGGACATCGGACATCCACAAGCACCATCTCCTTACCCCCCAAATCCAAATGGACATGATTTGCCATTCCTGATCAATGGAAGCAGTGGAAAGCAGAGGCCAGCATGTCCCTGTGGTCCTTTTGCCTGCTGGTGCCGCCTCCACGTCTCCCATTGACTGGGAACAGCAAATGGTGGCTTATCTAGAGAGAATAAGTACCCAGAATCTAAACCCATATTTTCTAGTATGGTCACTAACAAACTTATTTGGTCGATTTGCTATCTCAGAGAATATATTTAGAACTTGGGCATTTCTGCTTTAAAGTCTATTCATGTGAAGGAAATCTTGTGTGAAGCTCTAGACAAATTCCCAAAGAAAAACATCTATTGCACAAAATTAGAGGACACAAGTAACTTAAAGGGTAAAAACACTTACAAAAAGTTGCAGTTGTTTTAACGCTATTATTGAAACCAAGGTGGAGTCCTCAAGAGCAGAGTGGAGGAATGTGTGGAACGTGAGAGCACCAGCATGGAGGAGGAGGTCTAATTTTCCATTTGAAACTTTTATACATTTGAAGTTTTCATCATGAAAAACCATGGGCAGGACACAAATCTATTTTATAAGCTGCACCCCAAAGCTCCTGTCACCTGTCATCTTCCTCTTCCACTCCTCAAGACTTCATGAGGTTTACAGGAGGGAAGCACAAGGTCAGCAGTATAGAAGGGCAAGGAGTGTCTGTTGTGGTCTTTTCCACAAGAGGTGAAGGAACAGAACCCTGCTGTTGTAGACTTTACAACATTGAGAGGAGAGGCGTGTAGACTGAGGCATTAAGAAAGCGCCCAAATTGCATGGAAACAAACATGCAGAGGGGCTGAGAATACCAACTTTCTAGCTCAATTTCCATGCCCTCCTAGGCCCTCATGAAGAAGGCCTTGCAAAGAGATACTGCCTGCATGTAGAGGATATGGGCTGTCCTGTAGGTCTTCTTAGGATAGCCAAAAAAGCTGTGGAGGAAAAGCTGAAGTACAGAACAGGGTCTCCCCCCTTCCATGCTGTGGTGCCTCTACTGAGAGAGAAGGGAGGAACCCCCTACTATGTCACATACCTCCCTTGATGTTCATATCCTGCTAAACCTAGATTAAATTCTTTGGACTAACTAATTATGGCTCCTGACTTTTCTGTAGATTATTAAAGCTTCTCAGTGGAGCTATGCTGAGAAAGGTAATTCTATTTCATGGAGGATGTTCAGAATTGCTCAGATCAATCTGATAATCTAGATCAGTTATGCTGAAAAGTTTATTTTGGCTTGCCCTGGGTCTGAAGAGCTGCTCCCTTGCCTCAGTTAACACAGTATCTCTGAAGCAATTAAGGAGCCTAAATTAGGTTGCCAGTAATGAAAAGCCATTCTGGAGAGTCACAAAAAATGGACTGAAAGAAATGAAACTGGTATTTTGAAGTACAGGTGAGTAGATAATTCCAATTCCCCTCCTATTCCCACTACCTACCTACCTGTTTGGGTCTGGGTTTTTTTCCCCCCATTTGTTTGGGGGTTTTGTTTTTGTTTCTGCTAGAGAAAGAAGAATAACTGCAGTCTGTTGAAGACCTCTATTTTAAAGCTGTCAAAATCCAGGTTTTTCTTTCCATGCCTTACTTCAAATTTGATATGAAAATCTGACCTCAATCTAGACCTATCTTGCCCATTTTAGGCCAATAATCCTCTCTTTGAGGATTTTCATTATGGGGAAATAAAAAATCAGATTCGTAATGGAAACTCAATTGAAACCTGAACTAATGAAGGGCTGCCATTGTTCCACAGTATCTAGAGAGCATGGGTGAGGAACTTTTTTGGGTAGGAGGCCGCTGACCCACAGAAAAATCAGTTGGGGGTCAGGGAAGGTGTGTGGGGGGGAGGGGCTGGAGTGCCAGCATAAGTATCCCCAATGCTGGGGGAGGTCCGATCCAGGCAACCCAGGGGATGCATTCATCCCGCAGGCCTTAGGTTCCCCACCCCTGATCTAGAGTATAATGGAGAATGTTTATCACTGTAAGTGAAGTTTTTATTTTTTCAGGCAGTGGGTACTATTTCCTCCCATTTCCTCAAGCCTAACACTAAGAATTACATTTTTTGTGCAGAAATTTAAATTAGTTAAATAACTTGCACGTTAGTTTTCTAGTAATTCCATACAACAGTTTATCACTACTACAAAAAACTAATAAATAAATTACAACCAGTAAAACTACATATGAAAACAGACAGTAGTCTGCTTTATTCTCTCTCTCTATACACACACACACACACACACACACACACACACACTATATAAAAAAGTTTTTCCTGCTGGACAACAGAATGTTCCTGCTGGGCAACAGAATGACATCATCACTTCATCAGCACCAACAAGCTCTCTCAGCAAAGCGAAAATGGCCAGAGGGAGGAGGTGAGCATAGCGAGCAGAGGGCAAAACCCCCTAGTATGTCTGAAAATAAAAATGGTCATAAGCAAGACTATATAAACAATGACCTAAAGTTTTAAATTTAGGTATCAAATTTAATTAGGCACATATGAAAGGTCTGATTTTCAAAGATACTGAAAATATAGTTTCCATTTATTTCAATGGCCTCTACTACTATCTAAGTTTTTCATCCGTTTTGCTCTAGTAATGCTAGATTGGGGATCTATACAATCGGGACTTCTGGGGATAGAACTAAACTTCTCTGTAGAGTAAGTATCCACACAGAAAAATTCCATAAGCTAAAAATCCTTCAAAAATGCTTCTATTAGATAATAGAAATTATGACGGTCTAAACAGCAGTGCTATGTGCATTTAAATACCAAATTATTCTGTACCTTTATTATCATTAAATATATTAAGAGCAGGAGCAATTTCTGAAGTTTTCCACAAACGTATAGTGCCATCTGCTGAACAGGATAGTAAACGCTGGTGTGCTCCGCTATAAACCAAGCCCCATACTGCATCTGTGTGGCCTTCAAATGCACCTCTTAGAACAGAAGGATCTGTGGGGAAAAAAGTGACAGAGGATACAGGTTTTGAAACAAAATGTAAATAAAGGAAAACCAGGCACTGAATTAAAAGTTACTCTTTTGGCTGTATATAGAATTAAATATTAGAAACAGGGGGCCTGGCTGAGCCTCTCTCTGAAGATATTCAGTGTAATGGTATTCAAATTTCATCAAGATATCTGGAATTCAATTATATAATTTGTATTTGTAAATAAAGTTGACCTTAAAATCCAATCCTTCATCTATACAGCTACCATTAAATCTCTTACTCTTGTACTGACTAGGGCCATCTCCTCCTTTCTGGCCTGTGCTTCTTTCCTACTCATTCTGTCTATCCAAAATACTCTGGAGCACAAATCATCTTCCTTTCCAGGTAATCTCCCTGCTCCCTGAGGCTCTTTAGAGGGTTAACACTGATTTCTAAATCAAGACTAAACTACTCAGCCTCACTATACACATAGCTCAGACCTGGCCCATATTTTAAGCAATCTTCTCTCCCCTCTGACCCCTTAATGTGCACTCTTGTCTTTAGTGTTCCTCAGCTGTTTGCCTTTCTCAACTGCAGTTCTACGCCTTTCACCGTGCTGCCCTCAATTCTTAGAGAGTCTGTTCTAAGTACAGGCCAAGCAAACTTGATCCTATTCAAATTTGTTTCTTTGCACTACTAAACTATCTTTAATTAATAACGTAACCCTAAAACCCCCAAAACGTACCAACAATTAAGTAAAAAATAGGAATGCTTTCATACATTTTATTAAGAATCCCTTTGAAAGGGAGAAACATTGATATTTTACTTATGTGCACAGAGAATGAGAAAGGAAAGGATAGTGCCATGTATTCATAGCCTTTTCCAATCTGAAAATTGACATGCTTCTGTATGACATTAACAGAAGCAACAGGAAAAAAAAATGAAGTTGCAGTTATGCTACATGAGGAACAAGTTAACATTCAAGAAGTTAAAAAACAGAAGATAAAAATCTTTCAAGCTGCCATTGATAGCACATCATCTTACCATTTTTCAAAAACCAACTTTCATACAAACATAAATGAAACATCATTCTAAGAGGTCTCTTGAAATCTCCCTTGCTCTTTGTGAAACTGGTAGGTTTTATTCACCCTTTTTCCATCCAGTAACTATCAGTCAGTACAAGAACTAATGTAGCAGTTTACTTATGATTTTTCTACATGGTGAGTTATTGCACAACCAACTGGTGTGCTGTAGATTCACACTGCAGCTTGCATGTATTACCTCACCTTAAACGCTAAAGCCAATAGTTCCCCTTTTCTTTCCAATCTGAATACCACTGTATAAAACATTTCACAGAGCTGCTAAATCCAAAAGTAATTCAGGTTTTCACTGGATAGCTCATTTTCATTCACTAGGTGAGTATGACAGAAACGCACCGTAAGAATCATAGGGGTCAATATTTGGGTTTGTCGTATTCCAGGCCTGGATAAGGCCATCAGTTCCTCCACTGTAACACTGTTCACCATTGTTGCTCATTACCACACAAAGTACTGGGCCACTAGAAGAGAAATCAAATTAGCAATTTCATCTCTAGTCATAATTAAAATGCTTGTTCAAACAAATGGAACTCTTAACTGAGACTCACAAAGTGAATATACTGCAACAAAAATCCTGCACTTTTCAGGTGGTATGTGATACACTGTTTTTGACTCGGGCTAAAACGGTACCTCACCTCAATGTCCAATAATATCATTATAGTTAGACCAATTTAATGATTAAATCAATTGCATGAAGTACAAGAAAGCAGCACTAATTATGTGTCTGTCCCCACCAGGCTGGACATCAATTCTGGAAAATTACTTCAATCAAATAATCACTACATTTCTCAGAATACAACTATGTTTCTATATGTCTGTAGGCGTGTACTTACCTATGTGCTCTGAATGTATATATAGGTTCTACATCAAGAGAGGCACTCCTAAACCAAAGCATAGAAAAGCGCTTTCAGTTTATTTTCCAGTACACAAGTGTTCCCAGAAATATTTTTTGAAAACAGAATGCTGAAACCTCTAACTTGTCCAATTGCTGTAAACTCATATGAAAGTTTTCCCCAACCATCCAATCTCTCTGATATTTGGTTTTCTTCCAAAAAGCAATAGTGAAAGTATTTTTGTAAGCACCCAAAATAAAAAAAACGGACGCAGACTAATCATGAACAACCCTATATATCCAAACCTAAAAAGAGGGATTATGCATATTCTATAGGCCACATTCTGTACTTTGCTAAGCCACAAAAGAGATAGAGGGGAACTGATTACAGCTCACTGATTTTAAGGCCAGTGTCAAAGCCCCAGGTAAATTTACAGAAGCATGCTGGGGATTGCAGGAGTACAACAGGCTCTGGCCAGGTCTCTCCCCGCCAGTCACTCTAGTGACTCTCCAAGGAGTGATGTAGTTACTGGCTATACAGTAAATCCCCAGCAGAGAAGATGTATCAAGATCCAGTAGTGCATAAGGTGCAGAGTGGGCCAGAAAAAAATCTCATCTTTCATCTATCCATTATTTTTAATTAATAAGTGCGTGTATGTACACCCACCCAGCCACGGAACTATATATAATTAAATAATTTACCATCTTTAAATAAGTTTTTATAGTAAAATAATACAACAGTATATCTGGAACTGCAGAAAAAAGAAATATTGCAGTATTTTCATAATGAAGAGGAGAGAAATTAGTGGAGTTACACACACTTAAATAAGGAAAAGCCTTACTTTTTTGCTGGTGCTGTTTTTTGTAAATTCCACATTTTTAATGTATGGTCCTCTGATGCAGTTATTAGGACTGGTTCAACTGGATGGAAAGCCAGCCCTCTTATTCCATCAAAATGACTTCTTAATGTGAATTTGGGATTCCAGGTTTTCCTCAGTGCATCCTTATTGTTTGCTATCTATTTGGAAAAAAATACCCAAAACTTTTACTTAGTCTGTGGGACTCACAACAGAAGAAGAAATCAGAACTTTTAATCAAGCATTTATGGATACTTCAAATTGTTATATCATTTTTATAACTCTATGTCTTTAAACTAACCAGCACTCTTTGCCAAGCATGAGAAAACTCAAAATTCGTATATATACAAAAATAAGATTTGTACTTTATTTTTCTACTTTACCTGTATATTTTAAAAGGTACCAGTAATTTTTGACCAATTCAAAACAAGAGGATAAACAACATATATTAGATTACTTTTTAACAATGAGAAATAGAAGCAGCCCATAAAAACAGAAGGTGGAAGGCCTCCAATATGGACATGCCTCTGTGTGAACATGAAATGCTCAGTGATGTCACATGTTTATTATCTCTCAATGACTCAAAGTTTCTCAGTTTACAAGTCAAAAGATAACCTTCCTAACTATCAGTGCAGCCAACTTAGCCTGTGCTCTGGAAGTTCACCTGTGCTCTTTCTGCTTCACATATTAACAACAGTGGCCTTGACTCAACCAGGATTCATTACAGGAATAGTTAAGGTGCAATTCAGGTGTAGACCTTAAGGTAAAAAATAATCCATAATGGAAATTTAGCTAGCAATTCTGTTAATGCACAAGTTAGGAAGTCAATCTAAATTTATTTCAAGAGATGTATTTGCTCTGTTCTGCTAATGGAATCAGTACAAACTAGCTTTTATCAGTAAAATAAGCAGCGATGACTTGGAATTAAAAAAAGGAAGCAGAACAGTTGAGCAAGAATATATTTACTTCTCCAACTATAACTGCATTTTAAAAGTGATCAGCCAGCTTCAGTAACATAAAAGAAATGCTATAAGGCAGTTATTTCAACACAGCTCCCTTGAACAAAGGCTGTAATACAACACTGGGTGCTCTTTTAGAACTTTGTCATCAGCCACCACCTAAGCTACCCAAGTTTCATAGAACTGGAAGGGACCTCGGGAGATCTTCTGGTCCAGTCCCCTGTCCTCATGTGCTTAGGAACAACAGATAAAATTCATTAATAAAATGTGAATACAAAAACTAAATCAGGACTAACAATACCATAATATATTTTGTGAAGCCATATAGGACAAGAGGTATTGGGCTTAATTTGCAGCAAGGGAGTTTTAGGTTGGACATTAGGAAAAACTTCCTAACTGTCAGGGTGGTTAAACAGTGGAATAAATTGCCTAGGTAGGTTGTGGAATCTCCATCATTCGAGATTTTTAAGAGCAGGTTAGACGAATACCTGTCAGGGATAGTCTTAGTGGTGCTTTGTCCTGCTATAAGTGCAGGGGATTGGACCCGATGAACTCTCAAACTTCCTTCCAGTTCTATTATTCTGTGATTGTATGTATATTCCAACAGTTGGGCCGATAATTAATTGCAAGTAAACAGAGAGAACTGATGCCCCTTTGAAAAACTGGTCTTTTAACAGAGATTTCAACACTGAAAAATATACCCAGAGGCTCTTCAAACTGTAAGCAGTATGTATCAGACATAAAAACTGAAATTGTTTTTCAGAGTTGATAAATACTAAAGTAATAGAAGAATACATAGTTAGCAGAGAAACCTAATAAACTTCAGAGAACCAGGCTAACCAAGCATTCAAGGAGAAAAAGATGAAGTACTTGGAGTAACAAATTATCTTAGATTAAATTCAATGTTCTTTTTCAGTTAAAAAAAAGACTACAGTTACCTTTATTGCTTGGAAATGAGTGGGACCTAATGTCAGAGAAAAAGAATGCCCAACCCTTAGGTATCAGTCTAGAGGGTTATTTTGATTAGCTGCAGTGGAGGAAGCAGGACCTTATGGCTTCACTGGGTACCTTCCAGCCTTATATTTCAATAATTCTATATCAATACTTCGACTTTTACCTAAAGATAACAGGGCCACGCCCTAAATAACATTTAATCAGACACCCCTAGACTAGTGACATACTGTCAAAATGTCTCACTGAATGTTCCTAAGATGACTTAATCTTCTAAAAATGGCAAATCATCCCACATATAATGTATCAATTAAAAATGCTACCTGACAAAATGCCTTTCTACATCTCAGACAAAACCTTTTAGGTACAATAAATCTTTGTATTGGATCAAGAAAAATATAAGACAGTTTAGTGGAACACTACAAACTAAAAACAAAAACAAAAAAAAAACACCACACTTCTTTGTATTTTAAAGACCTCCTATTGTTACAAGAATGTAGTAGCTTAAAAAGATTATAAAAAGCATATTTTGTTTCCAGTTTGCTTAATTTTCATTTGTTTTCACCATTTCTCTTTACAATCTATTAGTTTTCATTGCTTATATCAGTCTTCACCCAGAAATAAAAGGACAGAAAATTTGGGGTTGGGGGAGAAGGATGAAAACCAAGTACTATAATAAACTGACAAGAGGCAAAAGGCAAGTGAAATAATGTAAAATACTTACAAGTAATTTTTTTTAATTGACAATTTAAGAAATGTATCTTTATATGGATACTTCTAAACCTCTCAATCACATAAATAAATTCCTATTCCTATGGAGGAGGGATACTTCTAAACCTCCCAATCACATAAATAAATTCCTATTCCTATGGAGGAGGAACTACTATATAGAGTGCTCTGAAATTTATTTTTGTCTCAAACTGGTTGAGATATCTGAAAGAACTCTACTTCTTTCGAGGAGAAGAAATGATCTATGTGATTTTCTTCACAGGAGGAAATGGATTTTATAGAGCACTCTGACCCTCTTGAATATATATGAGTGCTGTTCAAACAACACAGTACTGAGAACTTTCCCCAATTTTACTCTGAAGCCTCCACTAAACAATGGCGAGGACCTACGTGTTTGAAATTATTGGCCCACAGATGTACTCATTTATTCATAACAGCAACAGAAAACATTTGGAGCTGGGGATCACATACTACTTGGCATGTGCTGCTTCGTGTCTACACAGATATAGTAATAACATCTAGCTCTTAGACAGCAGTATTCATCTGCAGTTCTCAGAAACACTTTACATAGGAGAGAAAAATCATTACCCTCATTTTACACACAGTGAAACAAAGGCACAGAGAAGATTAAATGACTTGCCCAAGGCAAGCAAGCAGGCTAATGACAGAGCCAGAAATAGACCTCAAAATACTTGAGTTCCAGTCTAGAGTGCCATCTACTATGTAAAAGTACTTACTTTCCTCCCTCTTCAAATTACCAAAATGGGTTTGTACTCTTAGAAATCAACCATGGAGGTTGGCTTGAGAGTAATTTGATTTAAGGACAGAAAGACAGTTCTTCCAAAAATAGAATGTGATCTAGACTTGCCATCAGCAGAGAACTGCTCTCTGTAAGTATCTAAATCTACCTACTCACTCTAAGTCCCAGAAATGGCCACACTATACAGTGTATACACTATTCACTGGCAGACCACAGAAGCTACCATATTTGAGGAAAAAGGGCTCATCTTAATCTCCTCCAGCAAACAAGTCTAAATTTAAGCACCTGAGTGTTTACATGTGGGGTTCTCCTCCTGTAGTCTGTACCCATGTAAATCATCAGACTTCACTAAGATCTTCACACATAAATTTGTAGAATCTCAAATGGTTTACTCTGAACTTCCACTTACATCATAAGTCAGTGAATCTGCCTCATTGGCAACTGTAAGGCCTGCCAATTCTCCAAGACCCAGCTCACTTTCAAGGGCTTCATCTGCTCCCATAATGAAGGACTTTCCTGATGTAGGGGGGAATGTTAAAGCTTCCACTACAAGAAAAAGAAAAATATGCAAAAAAGTCATAGCTATATACATATAGCCCTGTGGGTTTTACGTAAAAACACTTGTTCATTTCTCCTGTAAAATATTATACATTAAATTATCTCAACTGCTAACCACAGACATTCACAAATGCAGAAAGGCACATATTCAGAATGATATTCAAGTATAGGGAATTTTTTGAATATGGTGTTATCACAGATACACATCATTGGACTGTCTCAGGACTGTTAAAAGCAATTAGTAACAGGCAAGGAGTGTGCGCTACCATTTATGCCCCGTTCAGCCATTTCTAATGCCAATGCAATAAAAGCAGGCATAGCTTCCTCCTTGGTTTTACACAGACTACACAGATGCTACAAAGATGCAGAGAAGGAAATAATGGAAATGTGGTTTGGCTTAGGCAACACATTCAAAGAACTTCAGGTACCAGAACTTAGATTTTTCCTTCTTTATTCTGCTTCCACAAATATCATGGAAATTATAACTATACATACTCAGAGGAACACTGGGTATTTTAAAAGAGAATGCTAAAGTACTCACCCATAAGGAGCTTCTGACCTAGCCTTTTAACTGAGAACAATGTTAAGCAAAAATAAAAACTGAGACATCTTCAAATTTCAGAGCTGATTTTATGTTTTACATATGCTATAAATGCTATCATAATACTGCGGAATAAGCCTGCAGGTCACATGATATTCATCTTTGAGTTAACAGGCATGAAAACAGATTATTTAAATGTAGATAACATCTAAACTCTACTTAATTTCCCTGTGGTACTCTCACCAAAAAACTTCAAGCAGCCTATATGACTTATGGAAATATGGAAATTCTAGCCTAAGAGTCAAAAACTTGTATCCCATTTGAAACCCCAAACCTATCTGTCAGAAGTAATCTTCACCTAAGAAGATCGAAAATAGTACAGATGATCCTCAGATAATGGAAGAGAGCAAAACATCGGACCAAAACATCAACACTGACACTTAGATGAGGAAAGCCCCAGTGAGAGTCCATTGGTGAATTCATTGAAGAACTTGAGCCTCAGAGTTTTGGATCACCCTAGGGAGCTCAAAGGATTGCAGTCAGAAATGACCTCTGAAATTACATTCACTGTCCCTGAGGCAGATGATCAATAAAAGAACTCAATTTCTCATAACTGCTGTAGTTATAATTTATGGCCAGTGCTTGGTAATTGGTAACTAAGTTGTAACAAAAGCAGAAGAGTACCTTTTTCGCCTAAAAAGGATCTAGGAATTTATGGTCCTTATCATGTGGCCTTCAGAAGGTGTTTGCTTTATTCATTAACAGCATCCAGAACCAAGCAATTAAGGCCTCTTCTGAAGGGATTTTGGAGGGAACCAGCAATTCTCATTGTGAACACTTGGAAGTGCTTAAAATCATCCATATGTGATGCAGGTGGTGGCATCACCGCCTCATTAAGAAAAAATGCTGGTTTGTAGAGCAGATGATGACAGATGAGGCCCTGGTACCAAAAACCTTTCCGTATCTGTCAGGAGAGCGGACTGTGGCTCATTCAAGATAAACAAATCCCTGGAAAATTTGAAGTCCTATGGTACTAGGTGAGTCTATGCAGAACTCTAGTGAGCCTCTGTGGTGAGAGGAGGTGGCAATGAGTGTGATCTTGGCTTTTCAAACTGATCGATCAGTACTATCAATGTCGATTTGGATACTGCAGACAATTTGGAAGCAGGGTACTATGAGACTCTCAAATTCTCATTATAAATTCCTTGGGATCCTCAGCAGTACCCTTTCTGGGATGCGAGGTCTCCAAAGCAGCAGGTCTCTGTGGTAGCCTGGGCTTCCTGGAACCAACTTCTCTTTGAGGTGATCTGGAGCTCCTCTTCCTGAAAGTCTTGGTGCCATTCTCTATGACTCTCTCCTATGGAGAACTAGTGAGTGAGTGGACTGCAAAGGTTGATGAGGTTCTATGCTTACTGGAAGACTTCTATACCTGGCAGAAGAGGATGTACCTGTACCTGGATCTGAGGCAAAGTGAAAGGAGTGTGCCATCATGAGAAGCTTAATTTCCTTTTTTCCCCTCTAGATCTACTTTTAAACCCAGAGCAATTTTTTTTAACTTACATGATAAATGGGTGTCCCGTAAGTTGCAGAGACAGAGACTCTGACGATCAATAACTTGGATAGAATCCCAGCAAATGAGAGAATAGTTAAATCCCCCTTACCCAAAAAAGGGAAAATACGCACCTACTCACCCGCGGGGTAAGAGAGAGGCAGAAATGTCTCTCGAAGTTTCCTCAAAAACCAAGCAACCAAAACCAAAGAGCCAAACAAAGAAAACCCTTCATACAACTGGTAAAAACTGAAAAAGGGAGGGGAGCTCTAAATAATAAAGTAAACATGAGAAGCTATTCCCTGAGAAAAAGACAATTGTGATGTGGGCACCACAAAAAGCTCCATCTCAGGCCTATGCTTCTGTGAAGGAACTGAGGGCTGTTCATCTGATTCTGCTTATATACCCTCAGTATGAAGCATGGGAATTGCAAGGCACTGATACCAAAAATCTCTAATCAATGACACAAGGAGACGTGCACCTGAAATTGAGCACCAATAATAGAGAAAATGCATCAAATAACTAGAATTCTGAAAGAAAATGAAATGCAAAAAAACAGTGTCTGAACAGCACTTAGAGAATGAAAGCTCTATTGACAGGCAGAAGAAAACATTAATGGAATGGGAGGGCACCATACACCCCTGGTAATGACACAAGTGTCTGCATATATTCTGCCCTTCATCTAATACTAACTGCCTTTGAGAGACAAGTGGACTGAGAATGGGAAGCCGAGGAGGAAATTTCTTCAAGAGCCATCACCATCTAGAATCTAAGCCTTGCATTAAAAAAAAGGTTTTAGCCCTTTTAATATTAGGCCTTTCCAATGTGGAAAACCCACAAAAATCCTTCTGAGTATGCAGACGTGCAGATTATTCATACTGACTACGTGTAAAATTTATGTCAAATTTATCTTTCTGCCTTCTTAAGCAAGCTCTGATCTCATCTTACTCCTCTGCAGGCTGCTTCAAGACTGCATAAATTTAACTTTACCCAAATTTCTGCTTCTTTTATCATGAGCATTTATTCTTTGTTCTGATAATAAACTGATGTTTTGCCTTTTTTCATAAGCTTGGGTCAGATGCTCTCAATTAAAATATATATATATATATAAAAATGAGAGAGAGAGAGAGAGAGAGAATGTGGAATGCTCTTTTTATTTTTGTTTTGTGCTATTAGTGAGGCATCTGTGTGATGATAGGAAATGCACACACACACACACACACACACACACACACACACACACACACACTCAATCCCCCACATTTCAAAATGTTGCTAAGTTACAATTTTTCTTTTAAAAACATCTATTTAAGCATGTGGGAGGTGGAACGATTGTGCTCTGCAATACTTATACCACATGAAAAATTTTTTAATCTGCATTCCTTTTGTAGTTTGGTCAATCCAGTTTACTCTTTCTAGAAAAGATATGGATTAGCAGCCAAAATCATGCTTCACTCATTTTTCCAGTCATATTTAACAATCTTCTGGGCATAAATTGCAGCATGCCTCAAATAAATTAACACATCAGAAAAGGCACTTACATGCTTATTTTATTATTCTGTAAATCATTAAATGAATTTGAATGCTGAAGCTAAATTCCTGCAATTAACAGGTTAAAATTAACAGTTTGTGAAGTTAAGTGTTGTATACCTAATCAGAAACTGTGCATAGCATGTTAAGCCTTTACCCCCAGACTTTCTCTGACTGAGAATTTTAGATACAGATACCACTACCAAATTTAAGAAAGGGGCAACCCAACCTGAGCAAAAACTGCTGTCTGTCCTTCCTCTATGATTTTGGACTCAGTCAACTATGTGTTTCCATGTTACACACATCCTTTAGTTTAGCTGCAGAGTGTGCTTCTAATCACTATACTCAATTATTATAAAATGATACAGATCATATATTACCATATATGGACAAAAGATGGTTTTGTGGTTAAGACCGGGAAGATCTGTGTTTTATATCAGATTATGCCAGACTTCTAGTGTAAACGTGGGCAAGTGACTTATGGCCTGAGACCAAGCCCATGGCAGTCCTGAAATTTGTTGAGGTTCTTGGAAGATCAGGACTTTAAATCTCTCTCTCTGAATTTCTGCAGAGGGATGAGGGAAGAGGATAATGCTTATCTACCTCAATGATATGATGAAATTAAAGTAACGTACTTTAAAAGTATAAGATGTAAAGTGCTTTGTTGTAGTAGTAGTAATAGAAAAAAAATCCACATTTATATAAACAGACACAAACTTAAATACTTGCCTTCTTCTGTCCTGTTTATCTCATGTTCAATAAGCCTTGAGCTACTCGGCCTAGAAGGTGATGTGACCGATGGCTGTAATGAAGGTAGATCATCTACATCTCTCAAGTTTGCAAGCATGTCTTGCAGCTTTGACCTGTTGGGCCCTAACCAAAAAAAAAAACAAAAAAAAAAGTGAAATAGTTTATGTAAACATAATTCACAGTGATACTATTTATTTCACTCAAATATGTTTCAAGACAAGCAAAAATTGATCCTATCTTTTGATATCACATTTCCTACTAAACATCAATATTGTGCGCTTATTTCCAGCAGTAACTAATCTTTCAGCATGAAATGAACCTCTTGAAAAAGAAAGCGATGGAAGCAACTGAGACCTTTTCCCCACTTTTATGAACTCACATTGTTATTTGCATGAAAAAGTTAAATACCATTGGTCCAACAAAACACTCTATTGCTTTCCAAAAACAATTGCAAACATTTGTGAATTATTTTAAAATTTGTGCAGTGTATTGTTAAAATAATTTGTGCAGTAGTGTATATTTGTGATGCTACATATATCTACAGAATTGTTATATTAAAAAAAAATAAACCAAACTGGATTTACTGGCTTACTTCCTGAAGCTACATGTGGTGAAGACCCATGCCCTTCTTGACACTTACCTGTGCTTTGCTCCATCATTTTCCCACATCCCTGTTTTGACTGTTTTATATAGGATTGAGGCTGAAACATATCTTCGGTAGTTTTTCCTGTTGTAAGTTTAATTAAGAATGGGAAAATATCTTACCCATAGTCCATTATGGCTTTTCCTAGACCAGTAAATAATACAGCTATTTTTAAGTAGCTTTAACACAGATGTGTATTCTAATATATGTATGATCTTTCTTATTACACTGTTTCACAGGAATTTTTACTACAGCCTTGCAAAATCATTATAAATGTATTAGCCCAGTTACAAGTTCTATTTTTCCACCCTTACCATAATAATGAAAATGAAAAAAACTAAATGATATTTTAGTTGTCTATTACGAAACATTTATTAAGTCATGCAAAAATCAAATAGGATTTTGCAAGATTGTTTTAATACAGCACCTGACTTTATAGAAACACATTTTGTTGTACGGTTTTTAATCTTTGAATACCCATCTATGATAAAATTAATGTTCTAAAATAGATTTCATACATTGCAATATTAAGATGTTTCATTTTTTTAAAAAATTTCTTTCCTCGCTCCCTCCTTTGCTAAGATCACGAATGTGAGACAAATAACAGGTTCAGATTCCTTGTGAGATTTCTGTATTGATGCCCTGCCAATGATGGTTTGTCCATGGAAAGATGCTTAATTTCTGTATTGGAGTACACTTGTTGGTCTCCCCCGATCAAACGTCCACCCAAAAACATATCATTACACTATCCTCATGAAGCAGTGCAAGTTGCCACATCGCATTGTCTTGTATCAGGAACTTTGCCCGTTAAAAATATAAAACAAAGTTCCAGTGTTAGCTGTGCCTAAATTAATCAATTACTACAATTTGATAATCAGTATCTATATGCCCAATATAGACTTAGAAATGTGCTCATTTCAATTTATTTCTTAATTAAAATATTTCTAGCAAATTAGCTCTGTAAAACTTTATCCATGGCACTGTAAACTGTATGGCTACGTCCAGACTGGCATGATTTTCCGCAAATGCTTTTAACGGAAAAATTTTCCGTTAAAAGCATTTTCGGAACAGAGTGTCTAGATTGGCATGGACGCTTTCCGCAAAAGCATTCGCGATCGGGGCTTTTTTGCGGAAAACAAATCTCAGCTGTCTATACTGGCCCTTTTGCGCAAAAGTTTTGCTCAAAAGGGACTTTTGCCAGAACAGGAGCAGCATAGTATTTCCACAAAAAGCACTGATTTTTTTACAGTAGGAAGTCAGTGCTTTTGCAGAAATTCAAGCGGCCAGTGTAGACAGCTGGCAAGTTTTTCTGGAAAAGAGGCTGATTTTCCGGAAAAATTGGCCAGTCTAGACACAGCCTATATGTGTACTATGACAGAGACAAGAATGTATTAAAGTATTTTTCTGTGTATTCCTATTGTATGAGAATCACTAATTATAAAGAAATTCAAAATTTATTTGGTGACACTAACTTTTTTGTGCGGGCAGGTCAACATTTTGGTACTTTAACTGCAACCTAAGAATAAACAAGTATTTCAAATGCCATTCACATCAGCATGGACTCTAAAGTACATGCTGATTTGCTAGGAGAAATTGACAATGGAAGTTTAAACTCTACATGCTGAATTTGATACTGTGAGCTCAAAGCTAATATTTGCTGAGCTGCAACCAATTACATTTATAATCTACTAACTGCAGAAAGTAACAAAATGAGGTAATCTTGAAACAATATAGAGAAGGTGTTATCTTTTTGTATGATTTTGTAAACATGTTGGAAGTGAGTTTCTTTAAAATTAATAAGCATCTTCCCACAAAGGGTGTGTAATGAAACATAACCCTCAAATTTGCCCCTGAATTAGGTGTATCATTTTTTAATTTCAATTATTCCCACATCTGCAAGTTTGAAATAGTTAAGATTTCCATTTTAAACATTTAACTTGACTCTCAAAGGAATATAATACTTATTTTATTTAACAACACAGATTTCACATAATGGATTTCCATTTCAGGATATGTAACAGGTAAAGGTATGATGAACAGGGCTAGAAATTGTATTTTAGACACCTCTCACAGTTGTTTAATTGGAATACAAACACCACCTACTACAAATATAAATCCCATAGGTAAAGTTGTAATTGATAAGTAAGGACTGATTTAGAGATTGTCAATAAGATTTATTTTCCATTTCGAGCCCTGCATGAGGAATTATGAGGCCAGCATGACTTGCATGTTTTGGATATTAAGTACAAACAGGGGTAGAAATTAATTTGTTTCTCCCTCTGTCAGCCAACAGATACTACACAGAGGTTTCTTTTTAATATACCAAAATCAAAACAGATCTTATAAAACTAACAGATATTCAGCTAAGAGTTCTGACACTTTCTTAATAAAAATATATAGTTAAACAAAGGAACAAAACAATGCATTTAAATTTCACGTCTATATACCATCACTGATTGCTACGTAGTCTATACATCCAGCATAATCCCTTGGAATTTATCCAACTAGACTGGTAAAAGTTATATTCCAGTCAGCAGCTTTCTACTTTCTCAGGCACCTGGATTGACTATCATTAATTTCAACCCCTGAGCACTGGTGAATAGGAAAGCAGTCAGGAGTGGCAAAGTAAAAGAGTAAGTAGTTTTAGGAAAACATTGAAAGAAAGATAGAATTAGGGGTGTGAAAGAGATGGGATTTGTGATTTTTAAGGTGCAATGTTTTCCACTTACTCTTCACCCCCTTTTTTCCCTTGCGCTCCTTTTTGTATTGTTCCTTGAGTTTGGTTATTACGCCCTGGTCCACATTCCAGGCTTCAGGCATGAGACACTGGTCTTCCTTTTCTAAATAAAGTAAAACAAATGAAACACCCTTTTTAAATAAATATATCACTAAACAGTTTTCACCAAAGGAGGTAGAATCTGTTGTCAATCTTATTTATACCTTGTTCTTAAAATACATAATGGCACCATGGTTGCAAATTCTGCAAGACTACATTCTCTTCCCTACTTTCACTTAAAAAGATTTTTTAAAGAAATTCTGAGTGATGAAATTTCAAATGCCTAAACCTCCAATCCAATAAGCAATTGTTCATAGAACACAGTTTTTGTTGTAATTCTTTGTTTTTCCTTTTCTGACAAGCAGGTAATATCTTCTACTGATTTTTTTTTCCAGAAAAACAATTATATCCACAAATAGATGTCAACTTGCTAATATATTCTAGAACGTACACCATGTATGCAATGTTCCTAATGTTGACAGTCATATGTTATCATTTAAATATACTTTTTTGTATAAATTAAGGGGGGTTTGTAACAATTTACATTTCACTAGATTTTTATAAATAATTTTAGACATTAAAAGTGCATTCCGTTTAACAAGAGACTGGAAAAGTTTGAGATATTACAGTCAAAGGAAGCAGCACGTCTATTGTCGGAAGCCTGCATTTTATACCTAACGTGAACTGAACTCCTGCAACAGCTGCAGGTAAGTCACTGGTGCTCGGTTTCCCCAGTTGTACAACAGAGAAAATAACACTTATCCACATGTGTAACTATTTTGAGAGCCTTGAATAAAAGGTGATATGTAGGTATAAATATTTAGGATATTTACACAGTGTACAAGAAAACTATTTAAGCAGTTTAACATACAAATCAGAGCTGAACACCACCATTTATTGCTTCTGTATTTTTACATTAAAACTGAGGAATTATTGAAATAAATGTGTTAAATTAAGGCTTTATTTTCATCACCAAACTTCCTCATGTGCACCTTCAAAACCCATACGAAAAATATTTTCTTGTGTACACGGCGGTAGCTTATCTAGTTTCAAAAAATCGGACGTTTACATTAATAAAACACACTCAAGGTCTTTCATGCTATGATTCAGTCAATAAGTTTATGTGCATCTTACTATAAAACTGTGGAAAGCAGGATTTCCAGTTGAATGCAGATCACCTCAACTTCGGCAATAATAGAATACAAAACTGTATTTCCTCAAAGATCTAGATTCAACTAACAAAAGCCATCTTACTTAAAGGTTAAGAGACATATTTGCCTCAGTTAAAGTGTGAAGTGAAATAGGCACACCCCAAAGTAATAAATTTAATCTCAGGTTTTGTCAGTTAAAACAAACATTTAAAAAAAAATCTACGTAGCATTTCCTATTTCAACTTTTTTACTAAGCATATTTCCTAATTGATGGCCATGATAAGTTCATGGTGCATTATTAAAATAATAGAAGCATGACAAATAAAAACAGAAAGGCCATTGAAACTGAATTAATATAAGGAAAAGAAAATAAATGGCTGCTCACTCCTTTGGAAAGTCTATTCTGTGTTCTGCAGAGACAGCTCCAGACTATTCAGAAGTGACACGGTCAGGTGTAGTCCACTATTTTTGGCCAACAAAATGATATAGTAAGACGTGTAGAGTGAGCAATGTCTGAGGCCAATCATCTAAATTATTGGTCTCAAGTTTTCCAGTCTATTGAATCCCTTTCAGGAATCTAATTTATCTGGTGTACCCCCAAAAATCTCACCTCACTTAAAAACAACTTTCTTACAAAATCAAACATAAGAAAACAATAGTGTCACTATTACTGAAAAATTGCTTACTTTCTCATTTTTACCACAGTTATAAAATAAATCATGACCCCCCCCCAATTGAAAAACACAGATATAGTATATAGAATAGCATAAACAAGTCACTGTATGAAATTTTAGTTTATACCAACTTTGTCAGTGCTTTTCATGTAGCCTGTTGTAAAACTAGGCAACTATCAAGTGAGCTGACTTACACTCTGGAAGACATTTACATATCATCAGGTGTATGCGTACCCCTCACTGAGAACCACTGATAAATGGTTTCTTCATATCAATATAAGGCAAATACAATGCATCCATGGTGATTGTATTTATAAATTCTAACAAACTGAAGGAGACTGACAGTGGATTTGGATAAAATAACGATACTAAACACGTGATCAAGGATGAGTTAGTCTATCATCCTTGGACGTAATTCAGGAAACAAATATTTGACCTAAGAATTAATTATTTTTTAAACACCTTTAAAAAATGGAGAAATATCAATTGTTCAAAAATGTTTTGAGGCAAGAGAGTACACTACTGTGGGCCATTGATTGGCTAAGTCCTTTTGACCCATGTACAGAAGGTGTACTCTATGCATGGATCTTTCTCACACACATTTGAGTATGGAGGGAGAAGGAGGGTGTATCAGCTCTCAGCTAAATATTGAGACTGTCTCTATAAGTCTAGTAATCTGCTAGGGGTTGAAAGTAAGAAAAATCCCCCACATCAGTTCTGGAGACGTTCCCAGAAGCATAATAAAAAACCCATCATGAAAAATAAAAAACATTACATTTAATGGCAGAGCAAGGCAGTTTTGTTTGTGAACAGCAGGACGCCATTTCTGAGATAAGGAGAGAAGTTTTAGCTAATCATACTTTTCTATGCCAAGTTTGAGATGGAATTTCTGCTCTCCTTTGGCACAAAAATATTTAGAAGTATGCAGTATGTAAATGGCAAAGCTGTCAAACTACTTCAGACATTAATATTCTGTGCTATGCCTCTGATAATACACACTTACATACCTCCTACATGTACCACATATAATATTTTATCAATTGCAACTTATCAAGCAGATTATGAACTACAGGTTGAACCTCTAAAATCCAGGACTCTCTGGTCTGACAACAGACTAGGGATGTTGCTGGACCAGAGAGTCCAAGCTGCCCAGTTTCAGAAGTGCAGCCCAAGTTTGGCTAGCAGAGGGAAATGCATCCCCAGCTGGGGCTAGAGGCATCGGGGCCAGTGGCCAGGAATGCAGACCCCACTGAGAATGGTGAGGTGAGGAGCGCAGCTCTGGTCGGGGCTGGCACAGTGTGAAACACAGCCTCGGTTGGGCTGGCACGAAGGGGGAGTGCAGCCCTTACCGGGGATGGAGGCATCAGGGCCAGCAGTCAGGAGCGCAGTCCTGGTGAGGGCTGGCAGTGAAGAGTGTAGTCCAGGCCAGGGTTGGAGTCAGTGGGGCAGGTAGCTAGGCGCACAGCTCATACTGGCGCTGAGGGGGGTGCAACCCCAGCCACAGTTGGTGACAGTGGGGCCGGCCCCTGTCTAGGGCTGGCTCAGTAGGAGACAGGGCTAGGAGAGTGGGGGATGGAGGCAGCAGCAGGGAGCACAGCCCTACACCTGGATAGGGAGCCTGACCTCCCCTTGTCGGGCAAACTCTGTGGTTCGGGACCACTTAGATCCCGAGAGTGCCAGACAGTGCATGGCTCTTACAATAACTACTTAGTGTCAAACCCAGGTCAGGTGGTTTCAGTACACTGAAGGCTACTGCAAGCCTAAATAAAGCTCAAGTAAAGTTTTCTTCTTCCTTGTGACCACAGTTATAACCTCGTGAGAGAGTTCGAAATATGCACTGAGCTTTGAGAGGGGCTTAAGGGAGTTCATGTCCTCCCACCAACAGAATTAACTGAAGCTTCTCTCTTTCTTCATCTTTTATATACTGTGCCAAATATCCCCAGAATCTATCAACTTGGCATGCAGTCAGTTTATTTAGTCTTCTGGGGCTTAAGTACTCAATTCTTCAAAGTAAACTGGGTTCTAATACCTGGGCTGCAAGACATTAACTTGAACCACATATTACTAGACAATAGTTAATGAAATTCCACTTTCTAACTAAACAGGATTTAAATATATGCCTGCTATCTTTTGAAAGGAATTTGAGGAACAGAATAGACCAAACTGCTCAAATTGCTGCCACTTGAATTGAAAATAATTTATTTAAATCTTTATGACTCACACGGCTTTCTGTATCAAAGTGAGAGAAAGGAGAGAAAATTAAAACCCTCTTATTCACGTTCACAATCCAACAAATCAGTGTTTTACAGAGCTCCTATAGTTTGGATACCTGGAAAAGGTACTGAACTCTATAAATACTATTTAAGCTATATTTATTTGTATTATTACTTAAAATAGACAACTGACCAAAAATGGGAATGTCTTAAGAATCTGTGATTACAACTGGATACAGAAAAATAACAATATCTCAGTCTCTCAGTAACGGGATCTCAGTCTACCTCCAAAGGCTATACAGTACGGCTCCTTTACAGATGTTGAAATCTTGGCAACAGAGTGTGTCTAGACTACATAGCTCCGTCGACGGAGCCATGTAAATTAGTTTCCCCGACATAGTTAATGAAGTGGGGATTAAATAATCCCCGCTTCATTAACTATGTCGGGGAAACTAATTTACATGGCTCCGTCGACGGAGCCATGTAAATTAGTTTCCCCGACATAGTTAATGAAGTGGGGATTAAATAATCCCCGCTTCATTAACTATGTCGGGGAAACTAATTTACATGGCTCCGTCGACGGAGCCATGTAAATTAGTTTCCCCGACATAGTTAATGAAGTGGGGATTAAATAATCCCCGCTTCATTAACTATGTCGGGGAAACTAATTTACATGGCTCCGTCGACGGAGCTATGTAGTCTAGACACAACCATACTGTTCAGTTTTTGTACTTAGCCTATTTTCTACTTTTCTGGTGTGGTCCACTAAGCTTCCTTACCCCAGTCAGTTCCATCTCCTGAACTTTTAGATTCTCCTTCTCCTTCATCAGATGCAACCAAGAAATCAAACTCTTTCAAAGCTTCTTCTGTATCTCTGTCTTCACTGCTATCAGACACTACTCTTCTCCTCACCATCTAAAGAAAAAAGAAAAAAGATCAATTATACAAAAAACACAACTTCACATCTACCAGTATTACTTGCTTTCACATGTAGAACTAAAAGTTAGAATGGAGTCTGCAAAAAGCAAACATAGGGTTCCTACATTTTGACTGGGGTGGGGAAAGAAGAGAATTGTACTAAGTGAACGTATTTTAATTGTTCAGACTATAAAACTAAAGAAAGTCCTATCAAACCACAAGCTCTCTCACCCTAAAGCAATCAATATACAACCTTAACAACAATAAGGACTATACTGGTAATTTACCAGGGATATAGGATACAACAGGAACAGTCTGTATACCTATGTTCACCCTTTTCATAAAACTATGACGACTTTGTACAAAGTATGCCTTGTAAGCTATTATCTGAAAATTTAATGTGTAAAGCCCTGCAAATCTGCAGATAGCCACACCTCATAATTTGTGGATATGGATGCAGATCCAGATACAAATGTTGTATCTAGAAACCTTCAAATTTGCAGATGTCTGCTTTATATCTGCAGTTATCTGCATCTGTGGATGTCAATGAAAATATCCTTGGGTCATTTTTGCAGACAAAGATGAGGATACAAATTTTTTCTTATCCGTGCAAGGCTCTAGCATTGTGCTGATCGTTACTGTTCTGGTAAAAATGTGTGGCAACATTGTACATAAAGTTAGAAAAATCTACTTTACAGATGGAACCTCTGTAATTCAGCACCCTTAGGACCTGACCAGTTCCAAACCAGATAATTTGTAGAACTACAGGAGGTAAATATTGACTGGCATCATAACCAACTCTTGCACAGCTTACTGGGCTCTTAGGATGTGTCTAGACTACAGGGTTTTTTCAAAAAAAGTGTACTTTTTTCTAAAAAACTTCCCCTTCTAGACTGCTGCAGAAATAATGTATACACTATTCCAATGTCCGTGTTGAACCAGGGAGCACCAGATTAGAAAGGTTCAATATGTATTACATATTCCAAGTATGAAAAAAAAAAAAACCCAGGCACAAACTGGCTTCTCAAAGACAAAGGGCAAACTGATGTTGCAGGCAGGTGTCAACAAAATCAAATGGATTACCCCCTTGTTAAGTGGCCATTCTTTAACATGAAAAAGGATGCAACTGAGAAATTTACTTCTTGGCAACAATGTTCTGGAAGTTTGTCCCCCATAGATTTTCTGCTCCTTAACCCCAACTGGAGATGATCTCAAAGAGAAGGAAAAGATATAAAAATGGGGGTACAGACATCCCAAATGCTGTCTCATTTTACCTCTGCTCATGACATTACCACCTGAAGCACAATTAACACTGAATGATCTTGGTTCAAAGGATGTTAGCCAAAAACATTGCTAAAGCATGTGATCAGAGAAATCTTTGCTTTGAATTCATTTAGCTTAAGTTCGGTATCAGATGCATTTTACTTTTAACCTGTTTGTAATGAATTCTGACGTATATGCCTCATTTCTTGTAATTACTTAAAACCATTCTGTAGCTAAAGAACTTGTGTTGCCTAAACAATGTGGTTTTGAATTGAAGTATTTGGGAAACTTCATCTGAGAAAACAAGATTCGTGTACATCATTTTCTATTCATGAAATGGACTTTATATGAGCTTACATTGTCCAAGAGGGTACTGACCCAATACAAGACATACATTCCTGGGGAAAAGGTTTGAGACTAGGATTAGTGTCACCCTACAATGTAATCCAAAAGTGGCAGGCTATAACACTTATACAACATAGCTGGAGGCTGGGTGAGAGCAAACAAAGAGTAGTTGCTCTCACGGGGAAGCAATATAAGAGGCAACCCAGGTTGGAGAATTAATGGGACACAGCTATCCACTTGTTCAGATTGTACCATGGTTAATGTCACAAGTAGTAGCTTGCATATAAATATATATGCAAGAATTTTAGTCCAAAATAAATTCATAGTGGTTGGTTTACACAAGAGGGAAAAAGGGTACACAGCACTTCACAAAAGCAGCAAGAAAAGCAAGCATCAGTGTCTAGAAAGGCTCTGCTTTTCTGAAATCAGAACTTTTGATGTGCCCCCACCGCCATCCATCCACAGAGAGAGAGAGAGAGAGAAGTTGAGAGTCCATTGAGTAACTGCTGCCTTCCAATTTGTTGAGATTCACCTTTGCTGGGCAAAATGGTGGTGACCTTGCCTATTTGTTTCACATTTTACCACCATCTATGCTCTTGTCACTTCTAAACTGGATTGTGTTTGGTCATTTTAATACCACCTCAGTAAACAAAACAAAAAGTTCTAAGCAACACCATATTTATCAAACACGCTTTATTTTTTCCTACAACTAAAGCAGACTGTCTAGATTAAAATCATTTAATCAACCTGTGACTTAGATTTGTCACAGTAATCTTTAATGGTCTCTATTTCAATCAAACTACTTTTGAGTAGTACCGATTTCACTTAGGCCTGAGCTACACTGAAATTTTTTTTCCATGTAGTTATGTCAACCTATACTGGCATAGTTAAACCTACCTAACCACTAGTGCAATGATACTCAATAAGAAACCTGCGGACCGAATGCAGCCAACCAAGACTTTCTGTGTGGCCCATCAGCCACCCTTAAAAATGTTTATAATTTAATTCACAAATAGTGATATGCTGCCTACCATTTGCCTATGACTTCCTTAGTAAGTAACTTACCAGATCTTAGGTTCTCATGGTAGTATTGGCTAGCATTGAGCTGGGAGCCCACCCATTTTTCCATTAGTGATAGAAATAGAGTCAAAAACGAATGTGAATGAGAGTAAATGTTGCAATGTCAACAATAAAAACTGAGCTTTTAACTCAAACTGGACAGTGGATTATCTTTTTATTACACCGCCTTATTTAAATACAAAATCCTTGTGTTTAATGTGTATCCATCTTTAAAATCATCAAATGTGAGGCACAACTTTGCATCCAAGCACAATAACTTTAACATAGTCTATCCTCCTGGCAGTGTTGCAAGACATGACAAACTTAAAGTCTTCATATCACACTTCAAATGTCACTCTCATAACATCAGTGACTATACATGAAAAACCAACTACTGCTTCTCTTCAGATAACGTTGGTAGAAGCAAAAATAAAAGGCCTTTTTTGGATGCCAAACCCGTGAAGGAGTGTATGTCGGAAATGCTGGCGGAGGTTTTTTGTCTGAGATTAGAAAAAGATGACATTGTGAACTGTGTGAACAAGTTTCCCATGCTAATTCTATGGCAGTGTGAAGAATGGAGGTAAACTAAAAAGACTGTCTGTCAGCCATGATTTACAATTGAAAAAAAGCCAAATACATATCTTGCAGTGGCTAAATCAAGCGACTTAAATGATACTGCCCAGTTACTGCTTTTATGTTAGATATTACAATGGGGACATTTTCAAGGAATAATGTTTGTGTTTAATACCATTAGAAACATACAACCAGGAGAGATCATTTTTGAAAAGGCAAAGGCCTTTTTTCAAAAAGGTTTCAATCTACAAAAAGTAAACTTGTTTGTTACAGACTGAGGTCCCTCGATGACAGAAAAAGAAAAGGGCTTTGCTTTACATTTGGCAGCAATACACCCTTCATTAAACACACTTCACTGCATCATTCACCAGACTCTCCTGTGTGGTAAGTTGTCTGTGGACCTGAAAATAACTATGCATATTGTGATGAGATTAGTGAACTATATATGCTCAACTTCTAGCTTCCAGCATCATCTTTTTAAAGCTTTTACAAGACATTTCAGTCAGAGTGATCTGTTACTGCACAATGATGTTTGCTGGTTAAGTAGGATATACATCTCAGAGAGGCTGTGTGTGTTTGAAAATGAAACAATAGAACTTTTGAAACCACAATACTAGTAAAGCTTTTGAGTTTCCTGAAATGTATTAATGACGTCCCCACTATGTCACAGGTAACTTTCCTGTGTGATATTACTGATCAATTGAATTGCTTCAATTTGCAGCTCCAAATCCATACAAGCAGTGTTGGTGGTCTGCTATGCTGACCAGTTTCAAAAGTCAGAAACTAGCTGTCTTTTAACAATGTTCACATCACTGTCTCTGTGAATTTGGATTTCCAACCCCATGATTATAATAAAAACCAACATTGCCCAATACACGAGCATCTTTACCATGCATGCCTTGACATGTCCTCCAACAAACCACTCTTCGCAAAGTTTGCCTGAGATCATCAAAATCATCTCTTTCATTTGAGTTGCCACAAACACAGTTAATAATGATGATTTATAAATGTTGTTAAGACATAGGAATATTAATACTTATATTGCAGTCAAGGTCTTTTTGCAGCTTAAGTTTTTTTGCAGGGGTGGGGGGGAGAAGGGTGGCAGGATTGTGTTAGCCTTCTGTGCAGATGGGGGGTGGGGGGGAAGGGAGGCAGGATTGTGTTAGCCTTCTGTGCAGATGGTCTGCCTCTTGTCATAAAATCCTTAAATTGGCCTATGAATAGAGCTAATTTAGCATCAGTGCTGTATGTAGTGCATCTGCGTAAACATTACCTATGCCGACTGTGTAATTAATCCACCTCCCCGAGAGGCAGTAGTTAGGTTGATGAAGAATTAAACAGACCCAATTTTCTAGTATAGACCATGTCTCAGTTTCCATGTTATGCTGACAGAAGAATTCTTCCATTCATCTAGCTACCACCTCTCAGAGACATGAATTACCTATGCTGACTGGAGAGTTCTTCCTGCCATTAAAGGTAGTGTCTACACTGAAGTGCTACAGTCAGGCAGTTGTCCCACTGTATTAAGTGTGGACAAGTCCATAGAATTTTACTGGGAGTCATCCTAAAAGAGTATGTGGACTATAGGCTGAACCTCTAAAGTCCAAGACTCTCTGGTCCAGCAACATCCATGGTCCAGACAGCCCAGCTGGCCAGGTTCAGAAGCATAGCCCAGACTGGGTTGGCAATGGGGAGCCCAGCCCCAGTGTGGCCAGCTTGTTGGAGAGTACAGCTCTGGCCATGGCTGGTGGCAAGAAGTGCAGCCCCAGAAAGTGCTGGAGGTAGCAGGGCCGGCAGCCAGGAGCATAGCCCCAGTCGGGGCTGGTGCAATAGGGACCACAGCCTTGGTCAGAGCTGGTGTGGTGAGAAGCACAGCCTCAGTTGGGGGTTGATATGGTGCAGGAACCTAGTCCCAGCTGGGGCTGGTGGTGGAAGCCCACCCTGGGGCAGGGCTCAGTTGGGTGCACAGCCCAGACTGGCACTGGGGGTAGGGGCAAAGTCCTGACCAGAGCTGGAGGCAGCAGGACCAGCCCCTATCTGGGGCTGGCATGGTGAGGGGATGCAGCCTCAGCCAGGTTTGTCTGGTGGAAGGCTGGAGGCAGCATCAGGGAACACAGCCCCACCCAGCAGTAGAGCCTATAGCCGTGTTCGGAGCCTTGACCTCACCTTGTCCAGCAAACTCCATTGTTTAGGATGACTCAGGTCCCGAGAGTGCTGGACAAAGGAGGGGTGACCTGTAGTAGTCTTAGCCTTGTAAGGTGAAATATCTTTTGCTTCTAATCTTGCACACTTAACTAAATAGATATACATTTAGACATATATGGAGTGCATTTAACAATTTGCATGGGGCACATGAAGATGTACACCTATATGTGAGATAGAATTGGTCTGTTTACCTTTCCTTAATCTCACACTTTCCTTGTACTTTTCTGCTTGACACAAATTTTTCAATAATGAGATTAGTTTGACCCACCGTTGAGGTATCAACGATTGTTTTCTCTCTTCCTTCAATATCTTCATCCTCATCTTCATCACTGAAATCTGCAGCTGCATTATCAAGAAACTTGAAGGTCTCTAACAAAGACGCAGAGTCAGTCAGTTCTGGTTTCCTGGATAAACACATTTTGAATAAAGAAGAGAGAAGAAAGAAAGAAAGAAAAAAGATTACATTCACCAATCTGGCTGTTTTGTTCTGTAATGACCAATACTCTAAAGATAAAAATAAGTCAGTTGGTAAAATTGGACAATGATTATATGTAATTATATTTGTGGGTAAACAATATAATATTAACGATAGGTCAATTTTTTTACACCCTGTAATTTTTCTTGCTCTCAGTTGCAATTCCCAACTTAGCACTTTCTTTTTTTGAAGTACTTTAGGACCATTTCCAGCTGGGCCCACATAACAAAATACCACCACCACTTGACTGAATGAGCCAAGAAAATCGAGCCAGCTTTCATGCATACATAGGGGCACAGTAACATGGCAGAGCAGATTATGTCTTTATTGATGCCTGTGATGCCCCCATCTTTCTGGGAAATAGAAGACTCCAAAACCATCCATTGTGCACTTTTGATGAGTTCTAAATTTGCTCAGTTCAACGGAATAAAATGTTTAAGACTGAAGTATGTACTACTACAGGCTCTAAAGAGCAGTTAACATTTAATAAAATGCATTCTGCTAACATTACTATTGTCAATTCTGGGAGAAATCCAGAAAATGTCTCTGGAACAGGAAGGGTTGCTATGTCAACAACTGTTAAGAGAAAAAAATCCAAGCAGCTAGAACCTATGACCATTAATCAAGGTAATGTCAATGAACATACAATACTATAAAAGAGATCCTAAGAATAAACACAATTAGTGAATCAAAAGTTTCAGCAGGGTAGCTGTGTTAGTCTGTAATTGAAAAACTTTACAAACAACCAAAAGTCCTGCAGCACCTTAGAGACTAACAAAAAATGTAGATGATATCTTGAGCTTTCATGTAACCCACTTCCTCCGATGAATGGAATTTAAGGAGTCCAGGTTCCAAATAAATAGCAGAGAAAGAGAGGGATGAGGAGGGAAAGGAAAGGAGAAAGAAAATTGGAAAAGAATGTTCAATTAACGTATCCATGCTAAATGTAGCTGATAGAGTGGGTGCTAAGTACTGGTACTTAAGACACAGTGACCCCCCCTTTCCACTGCAAGTTAAGAGAAATGAAACTTCACCTTACAGATACATTGTCTCTGCCTTGAGCTCGGGGTCATCTGGCAATCTAACTGCATTAAGTCCTAATGCTTTTACTTGTGGCATTCTTGTCATCTGGCAAATTACATGAAAATCTAGTATGTTTACTTACTGTTACAAGTGACATCTAAAAGTGCTGCTAACAGAAACTATTTTCAGTTTGTTTACATTGTTCAGTTGTGAGCACTCTGTGGAAAGTCAGTTTCAAGGTTTGCCCTGTTTAGTCAGCTTCCATTACTGTTGGTATGGGCCTCCGTGCAGCAACAAGAAAATGAAAATAATTTAAAAATATGAGTATACGATTTGAAGAAAATTGGCAGTACTACTCAAGGATAAGAATAGTCAAATTACCTGTCATTCAATTTAAAAAAATCAAACAGATTTCAACTTTACATTACTAATTAAACTAGAACATCAGTTCCCAAACTGTGGGTTGTGACCCCATATTAATGGAGTCACCAAGGCTGGCGCTAGACTTATTGGGGCCCAAGGCTGAAGCCTGAGCACCATCACCTGGGACCAAAGCCCTCGGTGTTAGGACTCACTTTACATGTCTTGGCCTCGGCTAAGCCCTTGGGCTTCAGCTTTGCTTCCTCCCTTGCGCATGGGGGTTGGGGTTTGGACTTTGGCTCTGGTTCCCCTCCCCTGCCTCGGATGGCAGGACTCAGGTTTCAGTCCACCCCTCTTGGGATCGTGCAGTAATTGTTGCTGTTAGAAGCGGGTCACAGTGCTATGAAGTTTGAGAACCCCCAGTACTAGATTACCAGAAAAAAAAACCTTTCAATAGCTGAAAGTGAAACCTGTAGTTTAAAGTTGGTTGTGTGATCTTGATAAAGATAAAAGGCTGAAGCAGGATAAAGACAGAAGCAGCCAAAAGAAGGACTGTTGAGCTGAGTGGGAGGGGAAAACACAGGACCCAGCACCCCTACACCTATTGCATTCTTATGGGCTCATAACTATGGCAGAGGAGACTCCTCACACACACCCTGAGGGCAAGAGGACTAGGTAGTGCAATATTTTTTTTAATGATTTCAGATCATTAAGTCTGAACTCTTGTGCTCCTTTTTGGAATGGAAAATATAAAATGCTCTCACAAAACTACTAATCCTCTGAGAACGCAGAGTTTCCCTCACAGTTCTGTTCTATCAGAAGTACTCGACAGACATAATTTAAAGCTCTCACTAATATGACTGGTTTCACCATACCTGGTCTCACGACACCAGGCAGCAAATTTCAATTCTTGCCTTGAATTGTGTCAGCAAAAATTTTGGTTTGGGAGCCAATTCATCCAAATCTTAAAACATCAAATTCTAGTTCAAAGTGTATAGCATCCATTTGGCTTTCAAAAATCTGAACTTTAGCAGCTGGCTTAAATATAGTAAATAGTAAAACACAGGACACTGAAGTTTATCTCTTTTTGTAGGGTGATGCCACTAAAAAGCATATTGAATTTCCTTTGCTGCTTCTAACATGAATTTTATAATTTAAAATTAAATTAGTTAAGATTATATTGCAGACACAGATTGTCTTTGTCATGACACCTTAGATCTTTTAATTACTGGAGCCTTCCCCCAGCCCTGGATCTTTCAATTGCCATGTCCTCTCTCTCACAAGGAAAGAGCTTAGTTCCTTTGCAGAGACATTTGTCAGTGACTAACAGTATCAAACACTGAAGACGGGTTGTCTTAAATAAAAGCAGACTTTATTGGTAAATTACAGACAGAGAAAATTCTCAAAATAAACTAAAGTGCAGGCTCACCGTAAAGTTAAAAAAAAAGTTTTAGTGGGCTAATACAGTACAGAAAATGTCTGTTTCTGACCCACAGTTTCAAAGGTCACACCCACGGCAGGGAGAGGGGTGAGAGTCTGCTTTAGGAAAATCCCCTATCCCACTTCAGGTACGTCTACACAGCAGGGCTTAGCTCAAAATAAGCTATGCAAATTGAGCTATGTTAATTGCGTAGCTTATTATAAAATATCTTATTTTGAAATTGGGAGTGTCTACACAGCACTTATTTTGAAACAGAGCACTCTTCCTCCGACTTCCCTTACTCCTCGTACAAGGAGGGTTACAGGAATTGAAGTAAGTCCTCTAGCTTGACAGTATTTTGACATTATTTTGAAATTATTTTGAAATAACTGCCTGCTGTGTAGATGCGGACTAAGTTATTTCGAAATAACACTAGTTATTTTGAAATAATGTTGCTGTGTAGATGTAGTGTCATAGAAAATACAGGTGTCTGTTCTTCCCAAGCTCTACTTTGTGCCTCATATATGCTTTACATTACTTTCCACAGCTAGTTTTTGTTAACTGTTCATCTCTTCCTACCATCAAAATCTGTTCAAATGTGAAGCCATAGATTCTTTAAAAATTCCCTTTTCATGGTATCCAAATTATTTCAAGCCTGCCAAAATCCTAATTGAGCTGTATGTCAGACTAGATACAGAAAAAACATGCATACAAATTAATCCACTTATTCTTTTCTATGACTAATGACTAAACATTCTGAAGAATTTTTGTTACTGTTCATAGAGTCAGGCCCTTTGTAATGCAGCATATATATGTCACCAAATAAAACCATTGTATAGCTTTAATACATTTTTTTACCTTCTGTATAAATTTATGACAGGCTAGACAGTCTGTGACAATCTCTTTGAAAGTTCTTATTAAATCACACACATTATATAAGAAACAGTCCAATACAAACTAAAACTAGGAAGTAATACTTACAAAATGGTTTGGATGTAATCTACAAGTTTACTGACTGAGGAAGCTTTCAGCCCATATAATTATGTTCCAACAAATGAGCATGAAAAGATAAGGCCACTTGACTAGCCAGATCACTATACCATACCACAAACTTTTTTTATACAAACATTTAAGAGAAATACAAAGTAATAGGGGTAAACTTTTAAAAGTTAGCTCCCTATTCATCTCTCTCCTTTTCTCTACTTCCCTCTCCCCTATTAACTTTTGTCTTTTCCTTTTCACTCCATAAGCGTCTTATATGAGGTTTTCTAAAACAAGGTATCAGCCCTGGTCATAGATGTTTGGCAGCGGAAAAAGAGAGGCCTCAAAAGTGAAGCTGTTGTCACTGGCACCCAGTGTCTTCCTTGGATCAGAGTGGTGCTTCAAAGAACATGGCCAGGGGTTGCTCATTGTCTGATGGGGCCAGTAGTTTTCCTTCAGAAGCCGTTTAAACTCATCGGCTGTGTCTACACTGGGCCACTTATTCCAGAAAATCAGCCGCTTTTCCGGAATAAGCTGCAAGCTGTCTACACAGGCCTTTGAATTTCCGGAAAAGCAACGACGCTGTACTGTACAAAATCAGCCGCTATTCCGAAAAAACTATTCTGCTCCCGCTCGGGCACAGGTCCTTATTCCGGAACACTGTTCCGGAAAAGGGCCAGTGTAGACAGCGCAGTAGTCTTTTCCGGAAAAAAGCCCCGATCGCGAAAATGATGATCGGGGCTCTTTTCTGGAAAAGCGCGTCTACATTGGCCACAGATGCTTTTCCGGAAAAAGGGCTTTTCTGGAAAAGCAGCCTGCCAACGTAGATGCTCCTTTTCCGGAAAAACTTAAAATGGAATAGTATTCCGTTTTAAGCAGTTCCGGAAATTCATGCCAGTGTAGACACAGCCATCTGGTGTAAGTGTCTGGGTGCAACAACAACAGCTGGTTTTGAAGCCCCATGCAGGTCAAAGTAATAGGGAGACATAAATAGAGGAAAGGAGGAGAATAAAAAGTGATTTTTTTTAAAAAAGAATAGGTTGTGGATGTTATAATAATGTTATTTACTATTTGTGTCTAATTCACACACTATTTTGGAATTCCTTCCTTCCTCCAATTAAATTGAAAGGCTTAATTTTTGTAAG